TTCAAAATCTGCTAACACTCCAGCTTAGAAGTGCCACTTTTAGGAATTTAGGCAAACACGTACCTGAGTGTGGAAAGGTATATGGTGGAAACACCCGCAGAAGTGTCATTTGTAATAATTAACAACTGGAGAGACATTCAGGGCCATCCACCTGGCATTGCAGCCATCAAGTGCAGCGTGTCCACACTTTGGAACACTGTGCACCTAGCTGAAGAAAACCTTAAGATATTTTTCTTTATTAAATAGGCAAAGAAAGAATAATGTGTGCCCCTGACATTGTGATTGTGTAGCTGTTAAGAAGTAAAGACTCAGGGCTTCTTGCAGGCAACCTGGTGACAGCCACACCTCGCCAGCGTCCCTTGCCTGCAGTTGCATTTCTAGGAGTCTGTTCTCAGATTGGCTCCATCCTGTTTGAAACCACATCTGGCTACATCTGGACCTGTGTGTCCGTGTGTTTCTCTTGCCCTCTGGTCTGCATGTGTCCTCACGCTGTCCCGGGCTTCCTCTGCCATTGGGGCCTTCCTGTTCCCACTGGCCCTCCGCCCACCCAGCCCAGCACAGGGAATTCCGGAGGCTGTGTCTCTGTTCTCTGTTCTGCATCCCAGCGGCAAGCCTGGGGCTGGAGCAGAGGGTGTCCCTGAGTGTCTGTGAGCATGCACAGGAGGCCAGGATGCCCAAGCTGTCCATGAGTGGAACTCCCTGAGCATTGGGATAGCTGGAGCCCAAGTCTCCCCCCATGTCTCACCTCCCAGCACAGCTGGGGCCTGCCACCTGCTAGGAGTCAGTGTGAGTGCTAGAGCAATGAACATGGTGGACGTGGCCATGCTGGGGGTGCGGAAGGGGTGAGCTGGGGGAGGCGTGAGTGAGTGAGTGGGTGAGTGAGTGAGGTACATGGGGCTTTTGGGGTTTTAGAGACCCCCCATGTGTGTTTTCTGCCAGGGCTCCCCACTGCACCTTCCTTTCCTGGTTGCTTTTCCTGGTGGGTGTCTAGGCTGTGGCATGTGTTCCTCCTAGGAATTTTTAGCACAGCCTTGGGGCTGTGTTGAATTGGCTGGGCTGTTCGGCCCCAGGAGCAAAAGTCAGACAAAAAATACACCTGAGTGGGCAGGTATGGCTAGAGCAGAGGCTGAGGCTTGGGCGGACACCTGCTGCCGTAGGGCTGCTTGGTGTGGTCACACCGCAGACTTTGCGCTGCCTGCGCTGAGCCAGGTGTGTGGTGCACAGCTGCATTGCCGTGGTGTCTCGTTCTCACTGCTGAGCAGAACTCTCGAAGCGGATGCTGACCAGGGTCTTGTTTCCAGGTACACAAAGCCAGGCTTGCCCCACTGATCTGAGAACAGGGACTGGAGGAGTTGTGGGAGGTGGAGGAGGAGGCTGTGAAACTCTGGAAGGCACCTGGCAGGGAGGAGAAGGAGGCAGGGCCAGGCAGCATGGTGAGGGTCTGGGGACCCCGGGTTGGGGGTTGACGGGCTCTGAAAGGTAAGAGCCCCGTGGCTGCATGCCTGTGACATTTGGGCCAGTGTCCCAGCCTCGTGTCTGTGGCCGTGTAGAAGGTGGTGTGGAGTGGAGAAGGGAGAGGCCCACCCCCAAGGCAATGTCCTGGCAGAGAAAAAGAATTGTAAGATCTCTCCCCACTTTAGAGACAAAAGGGCACCGTGAGAGCATCCACCTCCCTTGCGGTTTGTTCCCTGCTGTTGTGTCGTTGGAGCAGAGGTGACCCCGGCAGGGATGTGGGGCAGCTGCCTTTGTCTGCATCAAACGGATGCGGCCTTGGACTGGAGAGCCTAAACGTGCATGCACGGACACATAGGAAGCCCCATCGGGAGGCCTGGCTGACACACTGCACTCTGCCCAGGCGCTGCCGACCCGTATCTGTGGAGATGGGGTGGTCTCTCCGTGTGGCCTCCGCTGGGGGATGTGGCTCTACAAGGGACACCTTGTTGCTCAAGCACCTCCTGACAGTGGCTTTGGCGTCCCTGGTGGCCCTGCCTGAAGCACCTGTCTCATGGGAGTGTTTTCCTTGATGAAGACCTCACAGCAGCGTCCAGAATGCTCAGGACCTGGTCCTGGGAGGGCGCTCCTGGGTTAAATGAGACGAGAACGTCAGGGTCACCAGGGCAGTGCACAGACCACTCTGATTCCAGTTTGGGGGCTTTTTGGGAAATGTGGATACGACTGTTGCATGACGCTCTGCTTCTTTTGGTAACTATATATGTAGAAGTTGGCCGTCCTCAGCTGCACTCATGGTGGGCAGGCGGGAGAAGGCTTTCGTTCCCAGGAGGCACCTGCAGAGGCCCCCGGGGGAAGCGCCGCCATGTGGTACAACACTGAATTTCAAATGGTTCCACAGAAACCAGAATAAATGTTTTAAAAAACAAACCTTTTATCATAGAATTAATGACATCTGGTTAATCTGGGTGGTGGGATCCCTGCTGTCATTCATTCTACGATAAAAGTTTCTTTAATCCCCCAGCTATGTCTCTGGAAAATACGCTGAGAGGAAGGATCCCATCCACTTATTTAGACAAACTGCTGAGGCATGTCCCCAGGCCAGAGAGCGCTGCCTCGCTTGGCACCTGCACGGCCTGGGCTTTCGCCCGCAGCCTGCGCACTGGCGCTCCGGTGTGTGTGCGGCTCAGGTGAGCGCACGGCCCTCGTTCAGGGCCTCCCCGTGGTGCGGCGCTGGCTCGGTTCACCTCCATTCCCTCGTGGATGGATATTTAGCTGGTTTTTAATTTTTCATGGTAACAAACAGTGTCGCTTTCGTACATGCGCCGGAGACTTTTCAGCACTGCGGATGGCAGGGTCCAGGAGGGCCTCCCACATGGTAAGATACGGCCCCGCCTCTTCCCAAAGCAGTGGTGCCAATCCCCCAATTCCACAGCCTTTTCTTCCGGGACAGGTGGGGTGAGGTGCCTGGGGTTCCTGTCGGCAGGACCCTGCCTTCCAGGGGTGCCGATGTCTCAGGTTCCAGGGCCGTTTGGGCCACTGCGTGGGAGTAGCCTGTCCATGCCTATTTCCTCCTGGGAGTTTATGCTTTTGTCTCATTGAAATCTTCTCAGTTCAGTGTCTTCTCTCACTCCGTGGCTTCCTTTTTCACTGGTTTTCTGCTATGGTCTTGTGGCATAGAGAAGTTACTGTCTGTTTATGGAGTCAAGTACATCGGCGTTTTCTTGAACTCTTGCTCTCCGTGTCTCATTGGAGAAGTCTGTCATGCATTCAACTGTCTGCTGGTGATGGTCCCTGCAGCCCAACATCCCCAGGCAGGCCCCGTCAGAGGGGAGAGGGACTAGCAGGAACGTCCAGGAGCCCCGCCGCATGGCCCTACCAGGAACCGAGCCTGGAACTGGGAGGAGAGGAGGGCAGATCAGGGGCTCTGTTCCACCCTCACCCGGGCCCTGGGATTGGTCACTCATGAATAGCAGAGGTTTCTTGGACTCCCTGTCTGCGAGGGACCCAACCCAACAGCCCCCCTGGGGAGGGTGCCTGTTTAGAGCCGGGCTCTCTCCAGCCACTGTGACTACTGGTCATGTCTCTGGGTGCTGTCCCCACGGAGGTGATACAAAATGCACGACACAGGCCAACTTAGAGCTGCCTGACATCAGTGCGGACAGCCATCCCCAGCTCAGACCGTGCGCTGGGCTTGAATGCCTGTGGAGGGGGCAGTGATGCTGGCCGCACGATCGTGAATCAGTCAAAGCAGAGAGGTGGGGATTTGGCGCTGTGCACAGAGCAAGATGGGGGAGCTGAGGTCCCCAGAGACAGACACCAAGCACCCCAACAGACACCAGAGAGGGAGCTCATGGGGTCACCAGGTGAGGGACCTATGGCGGGATAGGCAAGCCCAGCAGAGCAGGGGCCGTCCCTATGCCTCTGGGCAGGGTGGGAGGAGGAGAGGCCTGAGCTGGAGCCGTGTGGACCCCTGACCCAGGTCGGGGGAGCAGAGCCACAGGGCCTTGAAGAACCTGGCCAGGTCTGCCCTGGGAGAGATTAGGGACAAGCCTTGAAAATCACAAGTCATGCACCTAAACGACATGCAGGATGTGCATTTCAGGGGCAGGGGGCGGCGGGCCTTGGGGAATGTCCCAGTCAGCAGCAAGCATTCCACCCCTATCCCATCCCTCCACCCACCCCATGATGCTTTTGTCTCCATCAAGATCCTTGGGGAATGCTGCATGTCCTTCCACCTACCCCATGATGCTTTTGTCCCCATCGAGCCCCTTGTCTCCTGTGCAGGTGCAGCACCCCTCACTCTCCCCTTGCGTTGCTGCTAAACGGGCAGAACCCTCCAGTGGGCGGCACACAGGAGCAGTGACCAGGTCCAGAGGCTACGGTGCCCGGACCCCAGACCAGCTTCCCGGCAGGTGACTCTGCAGGGTGAGCTCTCCCAGGTGGCACAGTGGGTAGGATGGTCCTGGGACCTGGAGAGCCCCACAGCCCAGGGCACGGCAGTGAATGACCAGGCTCAGGAAGACCCAGGCATGGGGACTGAGCCAGTACTGAGCCTTCCTGGGCATGGCCATGAGTCCCACCTGGTGACCTCCCTGGAGGAGTTAGGCCACTGTCCCCTGTGACTTCTAGGTTCAGTCACTCACTCCTAGAAACAGTCATGGCTGGAAGAGACCAATGTCAGCTCAAAACCGTGTGTCCCCCCAGGAGCACAACAGGAAAAGAGAATCAGGTGACCAAGGAGAGTTTATTCGGGAGCAGGAGGAGGTGCTGACAGGTTCAAGTCGAGGCCAAGTGACCCAGGGCAGAGAAGCTGGGAGGGAGGACAGGAGACCCAGCAGGCAGGTGGGCACCTGCTGGGAGGCAAGAGCTGGGGAACAGCGACGATGGAGGCTCCTGGGAGTAAGGAGGGGGAGGTCACCTCAGCACAGGGGAGACACGGGGACCCCGTCTCAGGTAGGGGCAGCCACCTAACCCAGGTCAGGACCTGAGCCGGCTGGCCCTAGTGGATGTGCCCATCAGCAGCTAGACTCCTGGCCTGAGAAGAGGGCTCAGCAGGCCGGGCAGGAGCATTCAGGGTGGCAGAAGAGGGACACGCAGGAGGCCGGGCGGCAGCAGCGGGGCTGGCAGGAGGAGGCAGGGGCACAGCAGGAGGAGATGGGCATGCAGCAGGTGGACCTGCACACGGGGCGGCAGAGAAGGGACACGCAGGAGGAGGGTCTGCAGCAGGAGATGGTGCAGCAAGCCGGCTGGCAGCTAGTCTTCTGGCAGCATGAAGAGGAAGACTCAGAGCAGATGGGCACGCAGTAGATGGGCTTGCAGCAGATGGGTACACAACAGGCCTGTTGGCAGGGGGAGGAGGTGCAGCAAGCCAGCTGGCAGCTAGACTGCTGGCAGCATGAGGGTGTGCAGGAGCTGGTGCAGCCTGATTGGCAGGGGCTGGGCTCACAGCTCACTGGGGCACAGACCAGGGCCAGACAGAGGGGTGGGGCACAGCAGCTAGTGGTACAGCAGCTGGGGGCACAGCAGGGGGGCTCGCAGCAGCTCTCCTGGCAATTGTCCACCTGCCAGGAGAAGCCGGTACAGGTGCTGGGGGAGGAGACTCGGCTGACACAGCCCACGTCACTGGAGCAGACAGACGTGGTGGATGCAGCAATCACATATGTCCTGGTGCAGCAGGTGTCAGCCATGGTGGGTGCTGGGATGGGTGGTGTGAGTGCTGGCGTGAGGTGTGTGTGTTTGCATTCCCTGGCTGCTGAGGTTTTATACACTCCCTGGGTATTTTCCTCACAGGAGTCTCACAAGCATTCCTTTTCCTTGTTGTGGCTGAGACTTTGCCTCCAGGCAACCCTAATTAGTTTACTTGCTGTGGGATGTTACTGTGGTCCCAGGACTGCTGCATGTAGTTGGGTGATGCTGGCCACTTGCAGGTGTCTGTGCCCAGCAAATACACACAATGATGCTGAATGTCTGCTGGTGGAGCTGGGAGTCTAACAGTTCATGAGTTGGCGAGTCTGGAAAACCCGGCCCCACTTTCCTCCTCTCTTTGCCTGTGTGTCTTTGCTATTGGGGTATTTGGTGCCGGGGTGGGGTGTGTTTTGCCAGCAGATGCTCTCCACCTGTCCCAGAGTCCTGCTCCACTGAACAATGGGTGTCTTGGCTGGGAATGCCCCCCTGGCTCCACACCCTGCCACCCCCACCTGCTCCATCTGCAAACTCTGGTGGGGATGCCCCTGTATTAGTCCACTTTCACATTGCTGATAAAGACATACCCAAGACTGAGAAGAAAAAGGGTTTTAATTGGACTTACAGTTCCAAATGGCTGGGGAGGCCTCAGAATCTTGGTGGGAGGTGAGAGGCACTTCTTACATGGTGGCAGCAAGAAAAAATAAGGAAGAAGCAAAAGCAGAAACCCCTGATAAACCCATCAGATCTCATGAGACTTATTCACTATCACTAGAATAGCACAGGAAAGACCGGCCTCCATGATTCAATTACCTCCCCCGGGTTCCTCCCACAACATGTGGGAATTCTGGGAGATGCAATTCAAGTTGAGATTTGGGCAAGGACACAGCCAAACCATATCATTCTGTCCCTGGCCCCTCCAAATCTTATGTCTTCACATTTCAAAACCAATCATGCCTTTCCAACAGTCCCCCAAAGTCTTAACTCATTTCAGCATTAACCCAAAAGTCCACAGTCCAAAGTTTCATCTGAGACAAGGCAAGTTCCTTCCACCTGTGAGCCTGCAAAATCAAAAACAAGCTAGTTTCTTCCTAGATAAAATAGGGATACAGGTATTTGGTAAATACAGCCATTCCAAATGGCAGAAATTGTCCAAAACAAAGGGGTTACAGGAACATGCAAGTCCAAAACCCAGCAGGGGAGTAAAATTTTAAAGCTCCAAAATGGTCTCGTTTGACTCCAGGTCTCATCCAGGTCATACTTATGGAAAAGGTGGGTTCCCATGGTCTCAGACAGCTCCACCCCTGTGGCTTTGCACCCCTGTGGCCTCCTTCCTGGCTGCTTTCACAGGCCGGCATTGAGTGTCAGCAGCTTTTCCAGGCACATGGTGCAAGGTGTCAGTAGATCTATCATTCTGGGGTCTGGAGGATGGCGGCCCTCTTATCACAGCTCCACTAGGCAGTGCCCCAGTAGGGACTCTGTGTGGGGGCCCTGGCCCCACATTTCCCTTCCACACTGCCCTAGCAGAAGTTCTCCATGAGGGCTCCGCCCATGCAGCAAACTTCTGCCTTGGCATCCATGTGTTTTCATACATATTCTGAAATCTAACCTCAATTCTTGACTTCTGTGCACTTGCAGGCTCAACACAACATGGAAGCTGCCAAGGCTTGGGGCTTCCACCCTCTGAAGTCACAGCCTGAGCTGTACATTGGCCCCTTTCAGCCATGGCCGGAGTGGCTGGGATGCAGGGCACCAAGTCCCCAGGCTGTACACAGCATGGGGACCCTAGACCTACAAAACCACTTTTTCCTCCTAGGCCTCTGGGCTTGTGATGGAAGGGGCTGCCATGAAGGTCTCTGACATGGCCTGGAGATATTTTCCCCATGGTCTTGGGGATTAACATTAGGCTTCTTGTTACTTATGCAAATTTCTGCATCCAGCTTGAATTTCTCCCTAGAAAATGGGTTTTTCTTTTCTATTGCATAGTCAGACTGAAAATTTTTCAAACTTTTATGCTCTGCTTTCCTTATAAAACTGAATACCTTTAACAACCCCCTCTCCCTGGTGTACATCTCTCTCAAGGCCCATCCCAGATGCTCTTCTTAGTTCTGCTTATCTCAGAATTATTAAACAATGCATATGCTCTGTTATTTCTTGCATTTTCAATTTCAGATATGATCTGATTTTCTATTGTGGAGGAAAGTACTTTCTCTTGTTTATCACCAGGCCCATGAAAAGTTCCCCTCTTCCCATCCTCAGAAGGCAAGGGCAGTAAAATATCAATATTTGGTTAAATCAGTGTTCAGAATGTATATTATAATAAAGTAAGTATTGTTCATAGCCAAGTCTGAATAGTGGAACCAGATTAAATTTCCTTATTTGTACATGTTTTGTTTTTGTTTATGTTTTCCCCCTCTTGGAGTTAAAAATTGCTCCTCCCCAAACTCTGACTCATTCATCCCCATGCTCCACTCAAGAGGTTCAAATATAACAATCTATTAGCTTCATTTATTTTTTGGAAACATCTCTCTCAGAACTCTCTTATTTGTGGACCAGTCTCTATTGACTGCTCCCTCAGCCTGGTACACAGGTTTCCTGGGATCTCCCTTCACTCTTGTCTTTGAATTTTCGTTCATCTCTCTCCGATGTTGGCTCCATTACTTCCTGGATGCCTTGTCTTTTTCTTTCTAGATTTATGCCGTTGTTTTGGTGGAGCACATCCTCCAGTAACTTTCTGAAAATGGGTGCAAGGAAGATATATTTCTGAGCCATAGCATGACTAAAAATGCCTTTATTCTGCTCTTCTATTTGATTGATAGCTTAGTTGGATATAATCTGGGTGGAATTGTTTCCCCTTAGAATATTTTGGGGAAGTTGTGGAACATTTCCAGAATCCTAAATGATCCCTTGTGCTGTCTCTCTGTTGACCCCTCCTCCCTAAGTATTAGTTGCTGTTCTACCTTCTCTCATCATTGGTTAGCTTTGCCTGTTCTATGGAGCTCTTTTGTTTTATGATTCCTTTTGTTCAGCACAATATCTGTGAGAAGCACCTTGTTGCTGCATGCATCAGTACATCACTCTTTTTTTTTTTTTTTTTTTTTTTTTTTTTGCTACCCCATTGCATTAAATTCTACAATGTATTATTTGTCCATTCTCTTTCACGGTGTTAGAGATTTGGATTACTTCCAGATTTTGGCTGCTATTAATAGTGCTGCTAGAAAAATTCTTGTAAACTTTTTCATTGATACTTTTACTAATTTCTCTTCATTGTGCTCCCCAAAGTGGAATTGCTCAGTCATAGATAGGCATGTGTTGGTTTAGCATATACTAACAACTTTCTAAAGAAATTTACACCCCCACTAGTTGATTTTATAATTCCATTTATTCTGTATCTTTACAAAATGAGGTTTATCAGTCTTTTAAAATTGGTTTATTTTGGAAAGTGTGTAGGAATATTGCACTGTTGCACTAATATGCATATCTCTGATGAGTAAAGCTGCTCATTAAACCTTGGATATCTTTTCTTGTGAAGTGCCTGTTCAAGGCATTTGCTTGCTTTTTAAAATATGGCTACTTGTGTTTCTTATTGATTTGCAGAAATTTATTACGTATTCTGAATATGAGTGATTGTATATTTGCGATGTGTCAGTGAATGTTCAATAACTGGCTTTTGTTTTTGTAACAAAAACCAAAACAGAAGTCCTGATTGACTGCATTTGCCAACGTCCACATGTGAATACTCCCAACCCAGCTAAATCCAGGCTACCAAGACAACATCACTTAACACAGAGATGGGAAGAGAGGGGTGCACATTAGCTCTCATGAGCCAGGGCATGCTGACTTTAGTGCACCATGGATATGGGAATTGCAGATAACTCATCCAAGTCTGGGGTTTAAAAATAAAGTTTTTAAAAAGTCAGTTTTATTGAAGTATGATTCCATACTGTAAAATGTACCTATTTAAAGTTATCATTTGATAAGGTTTGAGAAAATATACACTCATGTAACCACTACCACAAGCAAGATCTGGATTTTCTATCATCTCCAAGTTTCCAGGTGTACTTTTCATGATCAATCCCCACCCCTCCTGACTCTGCCCCAGCAAACAACTGATTTCCTCTGTATCTCAAATAGGTTTGTCTTTCCTGGAATTTCATATAAATCAAATTCTATAGTACAATTGACCCATGTGTCGATGGACACATGGCTTGTGTGGCAAAAGCTTCTTTAAACATTTGTGAGCAAGTCTTTGTGATATGATTTCACTTTTCTTGGGTAAACACATAGGAGGTGGAGTGTGTGGGGCATGTGAAGGGGGTGTGTGTCATGTTTACGACACCACCAAACTGTTTTTCAGAGGGATTGTTCCATTTCATGTTCCCACCCCAGCAAATGTAGGAGAGTTCCATTTCCTGCACACATTTGCTGACACTCGGTATTGGTCGTCTATTTCAATTTGAGTCATGGTTATGGATGTGTTGGGGTATTAATAGTATCATTTGATGAAGAGATGCTCTTAATTGTGGTAAAATCCGATTTACTAATTTACTCTCTTATGTGTAGCATTTTTACCTCCTGTTCCCAAAATCTTTGCCTACCACAACATCGTGAAGACATTCCCCTATATGTGCTTCTAGAGCTTCATTATTTTTATTTCATTTATTGTTTATTTACTAATTTTTAAATTGACAAATAATAATTGTGTGTATTTACTGGGTATAATGTGATGTTTTGATCTATAATGTGATGTTTTGATCTATGCATGCATTGTAGAAAGATTAAATCAAGCCCTGTAATACCAGCACTTTGGGAGGCCAAGGGAGGTGGATGATGAGGTCAGGAGATCAAGACCATCCTGGCCAACATGGTGAAACCTTGTCTCTACTAAAAATACAAAAATTAGCTGGGTGTGGTGGCGCACACCTGTAGTCCCAGCTACTCAAGAGACTGAGGCACAAGAATCGCTTGAACCCGTAAGGCAGAGGCTGCAGTGAGCCAAGATCAT